GCTGAAAGTATTAATGTGGTTGGACTGGAGCTGAAAGGAGTAATGAAGTTGGATTGGACTTGAAAGGAGAGATGAAGTTGGACTGGAGATGAAAGTATTAATGTGGTTGGACTGGAGCTGAAAGGAGTAATGAAGTTGGATTGGACTTGAAAGGAGTGATGAAGTTGGACTGGAGATGAAAGTATTAATGTGGTTGGACTGGAGCTGAAAGGAGTAATGAAGTTGGACTACATTAATCAACTGGCAGTGCAATCAACGCAGTCTTAAAACTAATCATAGCATTTCTGCCTTTACGTAAAAAAATCCTAAACAGGTTCCAGATCTTAGATTTAACAAGATACAGTAGAAATGATACTAGTTACTATCACATGTATTTCTATTTCAGTTGTTTTCATTGTTCCTGGCAAAATACAAGGAAAATTATACTTGTATATATTAAAGAGTCGTGGAGTGATTTGTATTTATCCTATTTCATATTTATAGGAAAACGCTTCAAGAAAATCTGTTTAGCTATAAACAGCGAGCTAGAATATTGAAACAGCGCGTTATAACAATGCGTTTTTATTAACCTAGTTTTATCTATGTTAGTAATGAAAAACTGAGCGAAACAACGACTGTCTTGAGTGAGGTAATTATACCGCTTCATACGGTTATTGATTTTGTATTAAATATTAATATTTCTAATAAGCATACAAAGTGAAATTGAAGAGGGCGTACGAATGCGTCGAACTATAGATTCTCTAATTTCAATTATTCTGATAGTTTGTTCCATTTACTTTGGTTTTTAACTAACTGCTGCACACAATATTGTGTTACTTTAGCGTTTCTAATGTTATTAAAATCAACATCAGATGAAATAAACGTGTAATCATTACATCAACATTCCAGATGGGCACAAAATACCAGATGTTTGTTGAATTTCGCGCAAAACCACTCGAGAACTACCTGTCCCTAATTTTGAGGTAGTAGACTAGGGGAAAGGCAGCTAGTCAACACCACGCACCGCCAACTCTTAGATTACTCTTTACTAACAACAAGTGACTTTGACCGTCGCATTATAACGCCCTCACGGCTGAAAGAGCGAATATGTTTGGTAAAGGGTTCGAACCCACGACCCGCAAATTACGAGTCGAGTGTCCAAATCACCAGATAATACCAGACCAGATAAGTGATAACCAGTAATCAGCTATCACTAGGACAGCTTGTTTTTTTCTGATACGCAAATATAGAAAAATGAAAGAAAATGGTTAATGCCCAAAACGGAACGCTAACGTTTTCAAATTAACACTGGAGTTAATAACTGTACAAACAACAGATAAAAGCTTTACATTTCAAACAGTAGGAAGAAAATTAGTGTCTAAAAAAAGGGAGTTAATATTAACGAAATAACAATGGGAAGGCAACATTTTAAAATACGGCAGATAATGTAATACTATAAACAAATAACAAATAACGTTTTATAATATAGCACTTAAAATATAACGTTGATGGAATAACTGCAAAATGTTAACATTTAATATTTAAAACTAACATTTAAAATGTTAACCTTTATGCAGTCTACATAATATTCTGCTTTCTTCTATTTTTTTCTATAGCATTTTTATTTAATATAGTCAAAGAATAAAAAACTAGGTAGAATAATTAAACAATAATTTATTATAGTCAAAAAATAAAAAACTAGGTAGAATAATTAAACAATAATTTTAATATAGTCAAAGAATAAAAAACTAGGTAGAATAATTAAACAATAATTTTAATATAGTCAAAGAATAAAAACTAGGTAGAATAATTAAACAATAATTTTAATATAGTCAAAGAATAAAAAACTAGGTAGAATAATTAAACAATAATTTTGATATAGTCAAAGAATAAAAATCTAGGTATAATAATTAAACAATAATTTTAATATAGTCAAAGAATAAAAAACTAGGTAGAATAATTAAATAACTTTAATACAATCGAAGAAATTCCAAAAAATAAGTAGAACAATTGAACAATAAATTTAATAAAGTCAGAAAAGAAAAAAAAGTAAAACGATTAAACACTAACTTCAATACAATAAAACAACTATGTAAAACGATTAATGTGTTTTATAGCAAAGATCACATCGCGCTCCACCGAAGGGAATTGAACCTCTATTTTTAACGTTGTAAATCCGTAGATCTACCGCTGTTTCACCGGGGAACAGAACGCTTAAACACTAACAATAATTTTAATAAAATAAAATAAAAATAAACGAACAAATTACTACTCGAAGAGAAAAAATGTTACTTCATCTTTAGTGAATTTAGAAACATAAGCAGCAGTTACAAATTGATTTATAACACAAAAATTTAAAAAAATAAAGCGTAATGTAAAAGCAGTAAAATAGTCCAATCTGATCTGTCACTAGTTATAACACACTGTCCAAAAGCACGTGTTAATATAATGCACGTTCACAACGAGTTATAAAACATATTGTAGATAAAACATTAAAATACTTTTTTCCATATAATAAAGTATCTGAAAAACACCTGAAAACTATATAAAAGGAGGGAATATATGTGTTAAAGGTATAGATATTTTTTCTTGAGAATGCACAAAGTGCCTCTGTTTTCACAAACTTTACACATGAAGCAAGTAACTCGTGTTTACTGATATAAAGAGTATAGATTGATTTTATCAACAGAAATTTGATTGATAATCTAAGTGTGCTTTTTATCATCTATATTGTAAAATTCATGGATACTGGTTATAATTTTAAAATGCTGAAAATTTAAGACTAAGATTAAAATCACTCCATGCTCTAAGTCCAACCAATGCTTATTAGTGACTGTTTTGATCCACCGTGATGCGGTCGTTTCCAAGTATAGAAGAAACACTACCCAAATCATTCACTTTTTGTGTGTGTGTTGTTATGTGGCGCTGGTTGACTCTATGGTAGAGCTCTGGATGTTGAAGCTGACGAGCTAAGTTTGAAGCCGTCAGATACCACAAAACATTCAACCCAATTTAAATTGTGGGAGCCTTATAAGAATTAGCAGTCAACCCATTATCGTGGACGGTGGTAAGGTGCTGTTCACTGGCCGCAAAAAAAGGGGGGGCGGTAACAACGAGCAATAGCAGCTTTGCTACAGATGCAAATACTTTTGGTGTTGTTTTAAAATAACAAAACGACTATTTTATAAAAATTCATTAAGTGCTGTTTAATATTTACTCAGTAGAGGGCGTTTTGAAACTTACAGAACTATCCAGCTTATTCTTTCTACATTAAGGTTAAAGTGGCATGTTAAGTTTAGGTATTTTATTAAACTTTTGAGTGTTATAAAGCAATTCTGAAACACTGCTATATATTTCAAAGGTATTGAAAATTAGCGAAAGACATTCTTATATTTTATAAAGCACTAATCTATTTGCCGATTCTGTAATTTTATTTCAAATTGCTTTCCTTCTTACATTGCATTTTTTATAATTCTATAGGTGTTAGTGTTTTCGTTTTAATTGTTAGGTAACCTGTGCTGGAGGGTAGCAATTGTAAAGCTACGAAACCGGTTCCTCAAATATGTGGCAGAGGAATGTTTGAGAACAAATAGGTATAATAAATAAGGTAACAAATAAATGTTACATGTTCTGAAGCATTTTTCATTGCTTTTTTATTTTTTGAGAAGGCTCATTGGAGTGAACTTATTTATTTTCGACTTTTATACATATAAGTTAATAGAGCGACGTGTGTCTGGCTCTTGTTTTAGCATGAAGCTCTTCTGGTGGACACGACGGTGTGTGTGTGTGTCTTTTGTGTGGATGTTTTTGTTGCATGAAACCCTTCTGCTAAACATGAAAGTCTGTGTGTTTTTATGGCGCAAAACCCTTCTGGTAGACACGACGGCCTTCGTGTTGCTGTTGCATGAAGTTGAGGGTAAACATGACAACCTTTGTGTTGCTCTTGCATGAAGCTCATTTGATAGATATGATGATAGTCTGTGTGTTGTTGTTGCCTTAAGCTCTGATGGTAAACATGAGAGTGAGTGATGTTGTTGACTTAAGTTCTGCTGGTGGACATGAGATTGTGTGTTGTTGTTATTGCCTTAAGCTCTGATGGTAGACATGAGAATGAGTATTGTCGTTGTCTTAAGCTCTGATGGTAGACATGAGAATGAGTATTGTCGTTGTCTTAAGCTCTGATGGTAGACATGAGAATGAGTATTGTCGTTGCCTTAAGCTCTGATGATTGACATGAGAATGAGTATTGTCGTTGTCTTAAGCTCTGATGGTAGACATGGGAGTGAGTGTTGTTATAAGCTCTGATGGTAGACATGAGATTGTGAGTTTGTGTTACCTTAAACTCTAATGATAGACATGAGATTGCGTATGTTTTGTTTTCGAAACAAAATGACATGATAACGCTAATAACACTGGTAAGAAAATGAACTGATTTTATCCAAAAACGCAAAGTATTTCAAGGGTCAATTATAAAACACATGTATTTGCTGCAGTTAGTAAAATCTGACTAGAAAAAGTTTTGTAATTAAGTTTATTTGTATAACAAACATGAAAGTTAGAGGGGGTAAAGTTAAACAAATGAAAAGACTGAGTAGAGAAAGTAACAATGGAGTATAAATACCATGACGACACAGATTGTATAAATCCAAAAAAAAAACTTAAATAAGTAGAGAATTAATGTACGTTAGAATAGAAAGAAAAAAAAGGTTGAAAGACTGGACAAATTACGTCCTTTAGAAAGTGTACAGTGTCTAGTCGCTCTAGTGTATTTGCCTACTGTGCCTAAAATGTTCGCATCAACTCGGCGTTCAGCAGGGCCGACCTGTAGAATTAACACAGAGGTCGCCAGTGTCAGAAACTCTATTCATCATAACCAGGAGTACAGCCGCGATTGGCCGCGGAGAAACCCTAAGGACTTCAACGAAGCTGCACGCCTCAATTAGTCACAGCGAGGGGCGGGCCCACGAGCCATCAACTGTGAGTTCCCCGAGTGGCCAATGTAGCGAATGAGAGCAAAGCAGTAGGACTTTCGAACGCGAGAGCTCTGACGTAGCTGTAGCTTTCTCTAAAGTACAACAACTGTTTAGCTGAAGCTGTTCATTTGTCGACAGGCTGTGTTGAGAACCTCTTCTAAAGCTAACCTATACACTTAGTGTTGAAGTTGATTTTAAAGTTTAATGGTGCAAGAAGTTTGGTGGTGCTCGGGGGCCAGTCCGTGGACTGAGGGCACAAACATAGAGTTTTGTGGAACTTCAGATCCTCCCAGTCAGTGTGAACAACAGTCGTACTCGATCATGGCTAGCACCATTAATTTTGGGGTAAGTAACATGGAAACGTAAAATTGGAGCTTTAACTTAGCCATGAAATGAACATAGCGCGAGAAGACTAGGGGTATCAGCAGAGCTTCTTTTAATCTCAAACTTTTAACTGTTCTTTTATGTTTTAAGATAAGTTCCCCTGAGATAAGAATACTAATAACAAACTATAATGCAAAAGCCAATGTTTTAGTTTGTTACAAGTTACATGTATGTTTTAAATAATTTAATATAGCTAAGTCGAAAACAAAACTGAGAATCGGTTGGTAAACAGGTTTCAATTGATTCCTGCGAATGTCAATAGTTTTATAAGTTTATTTGATTGATTATAACCCTTATTTTCATAATTTCCGGTATTATTTCTTCAAATTTATATGTGACTATCCCACAAAAATTCCATTTATTTGAAACATGAACTTTGTATTTCTGACTTGGATACGTAATGATTTAGTACGTTCAGAAAATAGACGTAAAGGTGGGCTGAAGACAACCTGCCCGTTGTGGTATAATCACGAGTGTTACTTGCAGCCCTCGGTTTACCTTTCCTTTCGAAACACATCTTTACACCCTATTTCTTCCACATCTGTCGTCAGATTGTGTGAAGATTGATACAACAATGTATTCTTATTACATAAATTCGCAACAAGCTGAACATGAAAAAAAAAAAGAAAACCAACAAAATCAACTACATTCGCCATATTTTTTGTCATGGCGGTTCTTAAATTGTAGTCTTTCTTGTACAGATTCAAATAACTATTTTCAACTTTGAATAATCATGTAATAAAAGGTTGATAAACGTAATCTTCTACAACTGAAAGTTTGTTGACTGTGTAACATGTTATTTTGGGGCAAGGAAAAATAAGCATTTCCTTTTTGTATGATAATGTATTTATGTTTTTTCCCGTTCAACATACATATTCGTACAGACTTTTTTACCATGTTGGATTTATTTCATTTGTTTTAATGTTAAGTTATCTTCGTGTACAAACTTTTACATTTTTCGAGTCAGTCCGTTTTTAACTTATTCAAAGTCGATGTGTTACCAAGGTTAGGTTTAGTTCAAAAGTTAGCTTCTTTGAATTGGTTCGTGTGTTTTGTTGATATGCAATAGGCTATCTGTGCTCGACTCACCGCGGGTTTCGAAACCTGATTTTTAAGGTTATAAACGTTTTAGGAGCTATTTGTATGTTGTTTAGATTTTTTATATCTTTAAAAGGTCCATATTTTATTCTTAGATAATATTATAGTCTAAGTAAACGCAGTTTGTGTTTTTTATGGATCTTTCTGTTTTTTTAAAGGTTTTTATTTGGGCACTATAGTTTTCAGTATATATATAAAAAAAAATCTCAAGTGACGGCATGCCTCCACTCGCTTGTTACACACTTGAGTTTTGAATATCGGCCAACAGGCTTAACCCAACACTGTATAAGGGTAAGGTGAACAAGTAAAGAAACCGACTTGTTCAACAAACAGATGAGTGTGTGTAAATATATATATATATATATGTGTGTGTGTGTATGTGTTAAAGTTGGAGAACAAACCGTGACTCTTCGCTCCTTATAATCTTGTTTGCTAAAGAGATTAAACTTGGTATCCAATTCGAAATCGAGCACGTTGTTTACTCGTGTCCAACAGTTACGAAGGAAAGTCGAGGGTAGAAACCTAACGCTTACACTACAGTGTTATGTATATCTAACCAGCGGGAGTCAGTGTAGGCAAATAGAACAGAGGAGAATTACATGAATAACAGAGTTACAGATATTCATTTGTTACAAAACTTGCATAATATCTGTTACATTTTATTTCATATTATTCATGTTATTCGCTTCAAAAGTTAACGTTTTTTAATCGTAACAAGAATTACGTCTGTTGTTGAAACGTTACATTGGTCTATTGTTGAAACGTTACATTGTAATTTTTTATTTTAGAGGGCCTCTTGAGATGCTTATAAGGCCTGGCATGGCCTGATAGTAAAGACGTTCGACTCACAATCTGAGGGTCGCGGGTTCGAATCCCCGTCACCGAACATGCTCGCCCTTTCAGCCGTGGGGGCGTTATTATGTTTCGGTCAAATCCACTATTCGTTGGCTGAAGAGTAGCCCAAGAGTTGGTGGTGGATGGTGTTGACTAGCTGCCTTCCCACTAGTATGTCACTGCCAGGCCGAAGTAGCTTTCATTTATCAGTATGTGTATGTACTGATAGCTTTACTTTGTTAACTACATAGCTACAAAGCGGTTGTGAAATAGTGTTTGTTTAGGCCTATAAAGTGTGGCTAGAAAATTTGTTTACGTTTTACTTAACTACATTAATCGAAATATTATTCTACTGTATCTGACAAATCATAGTGTACTATTGTTTTGTTATACGTAACTTTGACTGGTTTGTTCCTTATTCCAATGTAACTCTGCCACATATACAGACCGCTATACGGTTTCTTCACAACAGACTTCTAAAGATAGTACACATTGTTTCCGTACCTTTAGCTGTATTTGTTTTTACAGGGATTCACTAGAACAGTCTTGTAGACATGCTATACTGACGTATCATACGTTTAGCCCTATTGGTTTTTACAGGGATTCACCAGAACAGTCTTGTAGACATGCTATACTGACGTATCATACGTTTAGCCCTATTGGTTTTTCCAGGGATTCACTAGAACAGTCTTGTAGACATGCTATACTGACGTATCATACGTTTAGCTGTATTGGTTTTTACAGGGATTCACTAGAACAGTCTTGTGGACATGCTATACTGTCGTATCATACGTTTAGCTGCTATTGGTTTTTACAGGGATTCACTAGAACAGTCTTGTGGACATGCTATACTGTTGTATCATACGTTTAGCTGTATTGGTTTTTACAGGGATTCACTAGAACAGTCTTGTAGACATGCTATTCTGTCGTATAATACGTTTAGCTGTATTGGTTTCTCCAGGGATTCACTAGAACAGTCTTGTAGACATGCTATACTGACGTACTCATACGTTTAGCCCTATTGGTTTTTACAGGGATTCACCAGAACAGTCTTGTGGACATGCTATACTGTCGTATAATACGTTTAGCTGTATTGGTTTTTACAGGGATTCACTAGAACAGTCTTGTGGACATGCTATACTGCCGTGTCATACGTTTGGACTAGGGACAAAATTTCGATGTGCGATATGCACGATAATCGGTGACGGGTAACAGGAACTGTCGAAGTGAGGATTGACTAGAGTCCACGGGTGCAACCATTACGAGTGTTTATCGTTAAGCTGTGAGTTCGGCAGTAACAAAACGATCAACGAATGGAAAGTGGCAGTCAGTATGTCACATCGGTTCATCGGTACGGGGAGAAAATTGAGTTTGTAATGAATAGTTATGTGGAATTTGTGGCGACCCTTGTGAAGAGTAATGAATTAAGAGTTATTAATGTGATTGGCAGGTTTTAAAGACGTATTATATTTGAATAATTATTAAATACCCATCGATACCGATACACAAAGGAAAAGAAATAAAACACCAACATGTAAGTACGTATTAAAATTAACGCTGCTTTTGATCATTTATAAGTGTTGCTTACTATAGTTTTACTTTAACCCTTCTTATCAGTGCCAGATTTCATCATATCTTTCCTTTTTAAGAGTAATTTTCAAGCCACTAATAAATGTAACCAGCTGTTAATAGTAGGGAAACTCACGAGCGTTTAAAACGTTTTTAGTTCTCAGACGTATTCTTTAACATTTATCAGCCTGGCGTTCCTCTTGAACGAGTAAATTCCAGAAATCCAGATTTGTTTACTAATTCTTAATGTATTCAACCAATATGATGTTGGCATATAACATAAGACATGATACGTTATTAGTCGTACGAGAAACTTTGATTATCAGTGTTTTTTTCGACTCGGTAAGTGTGCTAAATCTTAACGTACGGTTGTAAGTTGAAGGAGATTAAAAAAAGCAGTATTATGGCAATCCAACACGAATCCTCTCCCCAAACGTGCTCGCCCCTTTCAGCCGTGGGGACGTTATAAGGTGACTGTTAATCCCACTGTTTGTTGGTACAGAGTAGCTCAAGAGTTGACGGTGAGCGGTGTTGACTAGCTGCCTTCCCTCTAGTATATCACTTCAAAATTATGAACAGTTAGCGCAGATAGCCCTCGAGTAGCTTTGCGCGAAATTCATACCAATTTCAATCTTCATACACAACTGTGTGATTGCTGATAATTTGCAATAAAATGCTATCTTTATTGGACGATTGTGGTTGAAAGTTTGATAAAAACGAATTCGCAAAAAAACAACATAGATATTGAACTGAAAATAAAGGATTGACTACACAGACTTTGCAATAATGAAGACACAAATGGATCTATTTATTAAATTAAATGTGAAAATTGTGTGTATATATATATTGGAGCAACTTATAGAAGTATAAAGTCAAAATTAACTGAACAGTTAAATGGACCATCACATGTAAATGAACACAAAAAAATCAACCATAAAATAAATTATGAAAACATAAGAATAAAAGGGGGGTAGGTAATAGAAAAATGAAGGAAGTAATAATAAAAATACTCGTATATAATATAAGTATTGCCCCCAGTGGCACAGCGGTATGTCTGCGGACTTACAACACTGGAATCCGGGTTTCGATACCGTGGTGGGCAGAGCACAGATAGCCCCTTGTGTAGCTTTGTGCTTAATTACAAACAAACATAAGTATTAATGAATAATGTTCCTTTTACCATTGTTGAATGCTCTCTGTCACGGTTTAAAAGCCAACGTTGCTTCTATTCTGAATAAGTGAAACGACGGTGAACCCCCAGAAGATATAACAAAGAATTTTTATACACTTAATGTTTCGGCTTTACACATGGTTATGTTTCTGTGTTCTATTAGAGCAAAGCCACATTGGATTATCTGTTTTGTCCACTGCAGGGAATCGAACCCTGGATTTTGACGTTGTACGTCCGTAAACTTACCGTTGTTCCATCGGAGGACCTGAATTCCAGATGATATAACGAA